TCGACGCAGTACCCGCCGGGGGAAGCAGAGGAAGAGGAAGACCTCCACTCCGTTGGAAGGACCAAGTGGAGAAGGACCTGGCTTCACTTGGAATATTTAATTGGCGCCAGGTAACGAAAAGAAGAAACGACTGGCGCGCTGTTGTTAACTCCGCACCCCGCAAAATGAAAATTATATTTAAGATACCCTCTTCCCTTATTGAGAACTTTAAACTAACGAATTAACTGCGGACAATTAAAATTGACAAACTTTAAATGAGTGAGGGAAGTTCAGAGTTTAACATGAAAATGCAAGCAGAAAATATGAGGGAGCCCTCATAATAACTACAGACTCAAATGCCTCCACTTACATACCACCCAAAGCAATGTATGTATGTGATGAAATGTTTGCAAAGAAATGTAGTGCATATTTGCGTAAAAGCACGATGGCACACCAAGACAAGCAAAAACAAAGCCCAACCGACCAGCAACAGCAGGAGCTGGCGGAGAGTATGTGCAACCATGTCAGGAGCAAGCAGGGAAATAATTTAACACACATGACTGCTGCAACTGTCCCATTGCACGCTGGATCCGTGGAAATCGACCGTGCCAAGCGAAACACAAAGGGAAAATGTAAAAAGCAGAAAATTAAGAGGCAGAAAACCTAAAAGCCAGAACGGCATAAACAAACAACAACAAAAGAAGAAGAAAAAGCAGCCCAAGCAAAGCGAAAAATAAAAAAAAATCTAGAAAATGTGAGATGCTGAACGGGTATATACGAGTGAGATTGTGTGGCACAGAACCGGAAAGAAACTCAAGCGACGGTGGAAATACTCAAGCGAGCCTATTGGTTTGGGAAAAATGAGCGCAAAATGCTACATTTATTATTTGTGATAAATATGTGTTGAGCCAGCCTTGTCCATATAGACCACCATGCCGAAAAAATACGTCATATCAGATCAAAACTCAAAGTCATGTTGACAGTTTTCTTCGAATTCCTTCTGACCGGTAAAACTGTCAACAAGGAATAATGTTTGGGGTTTGCCGGATCTTTTGATTTTCGCTCTACGCTAATACACCGTCGGATACTGCATTAATTCTTCTGAATTGTGGTTATTCAGCAAACTCAAATGACCGCTTCGGGAAACCCTTTTGTTTCTATTGAAGACAGTAAATGTGAATCGGTATGCACATTGAAGGCTATTTCGAAACCTGAATTTTGACAACTATTTCGAGCATTAGAAAAAACGTTATCACAAGTGTTTTGGGGCCAAGGGGGATTACTTGGAAGATGACGACTTAAATTTTAAGGAAGTATTAAAGAATTTTAAAATTTCGAACAAAGTCTTACTATTTTCTGCTCATATCAGTACTATTTAGTAACTAATTTCCGGTCAAAAAACTGCTTCGGTAGCAGACTGCGTATCCACTTAACGGCTCATTAAGCTAATTAATTATACAGTATGTTAAACAACTTGCGCAGTTATTCACTAATATAAAACTTCGCTGCCAAATAAATATTCTCAAGAAATTGAGCCTGAACTCTTAGGGAGAAAACTTAATGTTTTCCATAGCCTCTACATTTGCTAAATATAAGTTTGTCAAAAAAGTCTTGCGGTATTTTCGCTAGTTGGCGCTGAGAGCGCGTAGTTCTACTTTTATTCGTCGCATCGGGTCATGCTATACCTTTTTGGAAAGCTCATTTCACGCACTAACACGTGTTTGATTGATTGTCGTTACATGGAGCCAAATAAAGAGAAAATACGGCATATTTTACAGTACTACTACGATAAAGGCAAAATGCATCTCAAGCCGCCAATAAAATTTGTGAGGTTTTTGGACCCGATACAGTTTCCATTTCCACCGCACAAAGATGGTTTCAATGTTTTCGTTCTGGTGTAGAGGTGGTCGAAGAAGCGCCACGCTCCGCAAGGCCTGTCGTCGAAAATTGCGATAAAATCGCTGAATTGGTCGAAAGAGGCCGGCATAGTAGCAGCCGTAGCATCGGTCAAGAGCTGGGCATGAGTCATCAAAAAAATTTTATGAACAATTGAAAATTAAATAAAAAAATACCGCAAGACTTTTTTGACAATATATCCGCACATTTGAACCATTACAAATTACTTCCAGTTGGCAAATGATACGACCAAAAAGCAAGATGTCAATACAGCATTTGCCGGCGACAGGTCGCTCAAAAATCAAGGAAGGCACGCTAATTATAACCGCAGTCGATCGATCTGACAGAGCCTTCTTCTGCACTGCCTCCAACTCGGAAGGCAGCGAAACTTTGGAAGTACAAATTGCTGTTATATCACCGCTCATTGCCAGCATTCAACCGAGCGTGCAAACAGTGAATCTGCGAAAAATCGCAAACTTGGTAAGTTCTACCCAGGAGGCGAAAATTTAATTGAATGTTCACGAAATTTATTTGAAACACACAAAAACTCACTTCAGTTTCGCACAATTAGCCTAATGATTGGCGTGTTTGTGTAGCTCAAATCGTAGATATGGTTCTTTCCTTAGATTTGCAGCATTTAGGGCTTCCCACAGAGTGTTCCTTGGCTGAACGATGGTCAGCCACTGCGGTACGGTGCACGCGTTCGTCTATTCCCCACAGAGCACATACGCACCAAGGAAGACAAGGAGATGTATCAGTATATTGTGAAAAATGATTTGGAGTCGGCCCAAGTCACAGCGGCATTGCGACTAGGAGGTGAGTGGATGCTAATTATGGCAATTACTTGATTTTATTTCATAATTGTAATTAAGCTTTGTTTAAAAGTGCGAGCTTGGTATTCAAAGGGCTGGGTCAAAAAGATAATTGAAAGATAAATAGGAAAATGTTGTAGATTATACTTACTAAACCGATAACATAATTTTCTTGCAGAGGTGGCACCACAACTAATCTGCAAGTTCATCGAACAGACTATACAACCAGGACCGTAAGTTTCACTGAAGTGCAGCGTCAGAGGCAAACTAACACCGAAAATTATCTAGAACTTGGATTTCCGCTATCAAATGTGAGTATGGCAACCTTACTAATATATTTAACCTGCAATAAGTTCATATATGAGTACCACAAATGGCAAATTGAAATCTAACCCCACTATTAAATATACCGTGGTCACCCTCATAACTTGAAAGTATGTAGAGAGCGTTCAAAGTATAACCCGTTCTCAATGGCATTGCGCAACGACAGTTCATTAACAGAATTAAAACAGGAAAAATAGAGAGAAATATTACTAACTCGATTGCTCACCTGGCAATTAGGTTGCTCCACTGGAGACGTGGTGTCTTCCCATTTTGTTGGCACTGCAGACGTCTTCCTACTTCAAATTCAATTTTTCCATTTGCGGAAATTGCATATATGATACATACATATGTAGTTATGTCCTTAAAGGGTGTTTTTTCTCGTTTACTCAAGTGAATAATGCGCAGCGAAGACGCCATTGCTGCTATGGAGCAGCGTATCGAATAAGAACCAAATTAGTCCATACGCAACAATTGGAACTTTGGCCATCCACTCTATGGAAAATTGTTGGGCTTACAAAATGTAACTGCTGCAAGAAACGAAGTCGAATCACCAAAAAAAGACAAACAAAAAAAAAAAAAAAAAAAAAAAAATGGCCACCGATACTGATTTTTACTAAAGAATTTTATTTGTTAATAAACAAACTTGTGGCATTTGGAGTGAGTGGAATGGAGTACATTTTGAAAAAGTTTCGGTATGGTGCACTCTATGGATCTCCCTATTCATTTTTTCATATTTATTTAAAAATTAGCCAAGATTAATGAATTTTTCGCGCCTGTATTTGAGGCTGTTGAAGTGTTGACCTTTGGTTAAATCGAAATAATCAATTAATTGAAGGAAATTTTTAGGTGTGTATTGAGTTTATATTATCTGGGGCCGTGGTCGTCCTAACACCTTTTAACTCTTTTTTTTGGAGTTGCGTTAAGTCATTTCTTTGAAGAAATTATTTGGCGCACTGTCTCTCACCCTTTACTTATAGTGTGCAGAAAGAAGTATGTGCGCATAGTGAAGTATTAAACGCGTCATTGCTGTCACCAGCAACTTTGAATATGACATATTGGAGAGGACGTACAGGTGTTCCGCCAACACACCAGCGCTTACATACGCACACAATTTATAACGAAGTGAGCTTCTCTCTCTCCTCGTTATGGACAAGAGTTATGTTAAAAGTATTAGAAACCACTGTTGGTATGCCCCACACACTTTTGGTGATGTATTGCAGCATAGAAATGCATGAAATATTTTATTTCGAATTTCATTTTATAGTCTCAAAAGGCGGTGATTTGACTGAAATTTCTAGGAGAACAACAAAATGTAAACCATCTAAGCTGTAAAACTCTGATACTGGTGAACGATTATGGTTTTCTACATCCGTCACCTTTCTATTTTTATACTCTGAGCAGTGTATTTCAAGTTATTCACTAGAGTTGTAACACCTAGCAAAAATATATCTTAATGAAATTTGTCATGACCTATTGTCTAAAGCAATGGTCCGTAAGCGGTGTCTACTAGGGTGGGACGATTCCGGAATTTTTTCGATTCGGGACTTCTAATAGTGCGGAAAAGTTGCCTTAGTACTTCCTGATTCCAATGCAACTTTTTGTTTTGAGATCGGATTACATCTTCAACCCCAACTCCGGCATTCAGATTTCGGAAATTCGCCTAAAATCTTGAAATTGTCTACCTAGCGCCTGAAATACGCATCTCATGGCAAATATATACAAAAGTTATTTGTCCCGTCATTTATTACCGAAATGGTATATGTGATCATGGCCGTAGGGCAAACCGTGCCCGAGATACTAGCGAAAATGCGGCGCTCCACAGCGCAAGGTGAAAATTGTTGCAGCTCTCAGCTAACCTGTATTGATCACCCATAACCCACCGCGTGGAGGTGGCTGCTCCTCGGGTTCCTCCCAAGCCCAACCCAACCAACCAACCATATGTCAGGCTTGTTTTAGTCTGAATCTGTGTCAAATTTATTGTTTAAAATCAGATTTTGTACTAAACTTTGGCACTTCTTGCCTAGATTTCAGTGTAGAGCGTATAAAACGAACACGAGATTGGGGGCCAATAACTTTAGAAGATGCCTCTGTCACCAGTTTGATGGTTCTCTCATCTGCCACGGTGTGAGAGGGGAATATACTAAATTTTCATACCTCTGCAGTGTCACCCGACAGCCCTTTTATGAGTTCTTCGTTAGAAACTGAACAAAGAACWGGTGGAACAGTCAAGGTAATAGTCTTCCAGTTAATCATATCATAATAATTATTAGCTTTGAAATTCAGCTTTGGCATTTCATTATATCTAACCCTTCCATTTACAGTGTCAGACTCTGCTTCTCTGGCTGCCAGAAGACGGTCAAGGGCCAACTTTCTGACTTCTATCCGTTCGTCAGTCATCATACTAAGGAGAATGTTTTCAGGAAGAGCAAAGAAAGCATTCTGTTGAATGGATGAATCGACAACCTTGCGCAGTTTATCAGGTAAGTATCTCGACCTTTGAGTTGCAGCATAAAGATGGCGCGAGCCAACTTGAACTGTTGAATCTTATTGAGAACCACAAAGGTGAGTAAACTGTAAGTATGTACTTGACCAAAATCTTTATTTCCTTTGTTGGTTTGTCAGTAGAAATGTAGATATAATCTTAGAATTCTATTTGTACAGGTGAGCCAGTGAGATTTGCACATGTTACCTGGATGCATCGACGCTAAATCTGAGGAACACTCACCGCAAATAACAGCTTCTGATATTTTATAGAGATAAGCTTGGTCTGTGCTAAGTTRRGTCGGATTAATAACCTCAGAAGGTAATTGGCAGGATGGAAAACTTTCAAATTTGACAACAGGCAACTTCTCACAATCAGGGAGCAGTTTACCTATGTCGCCAGAGAGTGTATTTGGACTCTTTGAGACACCAGAAATGGAAGTTCGTTGAAAGGTAGAAGACAAACAACCCACTGTAATGGCGACATCCGCGGCTAATCAACATGTCAATAAAATAAAGGAATTGGTGCTTAAGAATTGACGATTAACAGTCATAGGTTATGCTGAAATCATTGCAATATAAGAACGACCAGTGAAAACCATTTCGTAAGATCATTTATGCACAAAAAAGTAAAACCACAATTGGTTCACTACATTCTTTCGAAAAAAGCGTCGCGTAAACGTCTGTGAAACAATACTTTCAGACTACCAGGATGTCATAAAACGTATTGTTAAATTTGAAATTTGCTTTTCAGGAGGTCCAAGAATCGTATTGGGAGTCCAAGAATTCTTATTTTTATCCAAGAGCACCCCAACATACTCAAAATAGGTATTTTTCACCAATTCTGATATAACTTTTCTACAATTTTTAAACAGATATTGTCCGCATATGTAGCAAAAATAATCTGATTTATTTAAACAACGTCTTCTTGAAATACTCATGATGCAAAAACCTGAGAAATTAATCTCAACACGGTAAAATACGCCTGTTTTCGATTAATATGTATGCTTAAATGATAAAATCAAAAACAAAGTAACTCGAGCTGCTCAAAAATTTTTGAGGGTAGATTTGACAAAAACAAGTAATAAGTGAACAATATCAATCGCAGAATTCGCGACAACAGACAAAAAGTTCAATACTGTAAACTAATTGGGACGACTCACCGGCCTTCGGCCATGACCGTTTCCGCTTAATATTGCCGTATGTGATACATTTTTCGTCCCCAGTCACCATCTGCCTCAAAAATGGTCCAGAAGGTTTTTTTGCGTAAAATCATGCGGCATCCAAACATCAAGATTTTTTGTGTATCCAGCCTTCCGAAGATGGTTTAAAATGGTTTGGTGACTAACTCTCATCTTCTGAGCGATGTCTCGAGATGCCACATGTCAGTCTAACTCGATGCTCTCCATAATTTCATCGGTATTAGTCGACAGAAGTCTTCCGCCGGCTTATCAGTGGTGTCATTTTCAGCCGCTGTGAATCGTCGAAACCATTTCTCTGCAGTTTTAAGTGATAGAATACCATCCACCAAAGCACCGTCAATCTCGCGGAACGTTTCCCTAGCGGATTTGCCTTCGACGAAGGAAAAGTTTAAAACAGCGGGAATTTCGGCGTTAGTGAAGCCCATGTTTACACGTCCACAACGCAATATCTAAACTAATCATGCATAGTATCGTTTTGTACGTATCAAGACTTTTCAGAGATGCACTATACATCTCTAGCGCTTTATGCATCGCCCCGAAATTCAAAAGGCGGAAGGGAGATATTTGACAAGTTAATATTTTACATGATCTTCAAGTTGCGAGAGAATGAATTGTAAGGTAAAAACAGATTATATTTTTTTTTTATCAAATCAAACTTAATCCATTCCGTACTTGAAACGGTCATGGTTTAACATTATATATTTTCGAACACCGTTTTTAACTAAGCTACGTTAAATTGATTATGCCTAAGCGTCATTTATATAACTTTGGCCGCACATTCTCTTAACTGAAACCACACAGTGTGGTTCTAAATGTTTTTATTTACGTCGTCTCTATTACGATAAATGGTATTGAAAAGTAAACAAATAACATGAAAATATTTTAAAAGATATTAGTAGTAATTAATTTGAAGAATTTTCAGCAAACGATGCACAATAAAAGCCGATACTAATTACACA